GTTTGGCTAGAAGTGGCCAGTGGTAAATCCACACAAACATTCCAGAAGCTTGGTGGCTGTCAGTGTGGCATACCTTTCCTCTCCACTTCCCACGGCTGCTTAGCTCTCTGGAATTCACTCTCGCCCCTTGGGATCCTGGCCTCCCACAGGTCTTCAGGGACCGCCTGATTGCCAAGGCGAGGGATCAAGTCTCACACTCGTTCTTAAACTCTGCAGTCTTTGGGTCAAGGAGCATTTTCTCCCTTCCAAACACCTTCCCCTGGTGCTTTCTGAGACACCGGGCTGCCTGGTTTTCCATCTGCCTGCGATGACTTTGTAATAACCCTTTTTTCTCTCCCCCTGTGAAAATGCTCCCAGGCCGGCCCCCCCCCCCCCCCCCTTCTCTTCTCTGTCCTTTACTCTTCATTGTAACTACTGTCTGTAACCAGATGAGTCACAAATCTGATTCCTAACTCAGCCCCATCCCCACCTTTCCCATCAGATTTTTCTTATATTCCGGCAGCAATTCCACGTCATTGGTTGTGTAAACGACTAGCCCTTGGCTGAAAGTTGCCCTACATCCAGGTGCCCTGTCTAGGTAGTTGGAAGAATGGCGGCACCATTAGTATAAGCAGGTCAGGAGGAGGAGATGGTTTTGAAGATGGGTTTGCCTAGAGTGTAATGAGTTTGCTATTCTCATTTCAGCCTCAGAAATATGGCCAAGCCTCATGGGAAGTATTCCAAGGAAGTGTAATTTGGAAGAAAAAAAAATATGGCTTGGGTGACTGAAGTGGAATGAAGCTTTAAGAGCCTACCTGAATATAAAGGATTATTTGTTTTAAAATTTCTGAGAAAGCCCCTAATTGTAGCCTTAAATTTGGGGTTTTCTCAGTTTCTAGGTCTCTGGATTCTTGCTCGCAGTGACCGGTGAGCTGAAAGGTGGAGTTATATTCTACTCTTGAAGGATGCTAAGTTGTTGCTACAAATAAACAACAAAAACCCCAGAGAAGTGTTTTGTTTTGTTTTAGTTCAGGGTCCAGCTGATACAGGTAGCTGAGGTCAAGGGCCTGAGGCCGTTATAGCATTCTCCCCCAGGTGAGAGGGCTCTCACCAGGAGGGCGGAGAAGAAAGAGCAGTGTGGGGATGCTGGAGATGAGCTTTGCTGGCTCCCCGTCCTCCTTCCCTCCTGTCCCCCCGCCCCTCCAGTATGCCCAGCATGGTGCCTCCGGATGGTAGTGCTGCTAGGCCTGCAGACTTCACTCTACGCTTTGTAGATGGAGAACAGACCCTCAGAAAGCCCCAAAACAGATTTTTGTGGTCACACAGTTAGAACCCAGGACCCAAGACTCCATCACACCAGCTGCTGCCTCCTGGGGCGTCTCCTCCCTGCCCACCACCACCAGGTGCATTGCAAACTGAGAACACAGTCCAGGGGCGTAGCCCAGGGGGGCCAGGCACTGTCAGCATTGGGGGCCTGGGGGGGGAGGAAGACGGGATCAGTCCCAGACTGCTCCTGGGCCCGCATCCACCCTTGTCCCAGCAGTCCCTGGATGAGGCATGGTGGGGGGTTGCCCACGTAACCACAGGCACAGGGAAATCAACCGCGGACGGCTAATCGCCTATCCAAACATTGCTGGTAATCTGCATCCCTAAAATAAACCCTTGAAAGATGGAAAGATGTTAGTAATTTCTGGCCAGATGTGCCTCCTCCTTCCCTACTTTCCCCACCTCAAAAAAGAAAGTGAGCCAAATGGCAAGGAATAAAGAGCCTAATGCAGAACACATTTCCATCATTTGATTTCCCCTCTCCCCGTGCCGTCCCCCCACTTATGTAAACTAAATTCCTTTACACGGTCATGGCAAAGGACCATTAATTTTTGATTTGAGTTGTGATTAAAGGCAATACAGTCAAAAGAGTGAGATAATTTCCACTGAAGCAATGCCATTTGAAACCCAGTCATGGTATAGTAGGAAAGAGCGGGGGTCTTTGGGGTTAGGCTGGATTCTACTTCTGATTCTCTCTCTTACAAATGGAGGCCACGTGTTTTATTACTTAACCCGAGTCCTCTCCCTGATTGTAAAAAATAATAATGCAGATTCTACACATGGATGCTGTGAGCACTAAGTCAGGAGCCACACCGACAGCAGCTGTCCTGTGCTCACAGGGCGGCATGTGGTGAGAACTTAAGAAAGGACGGCTCACGTCTGTGTAGCAAAGAGGGCGCCTGCATTGTCAGCAGGGCATGCATTCACCTCTCCTGGGGATGGAATTGATCACTCACTCCGATGGCAACGCTTGGTTCCCAGCCTTCGACACTGGGCAGTAGCTTGAGACTCCTCTAACGCATGGGGCCACCTTTTGGAGGGCCTTGTGAAAGGAGAATAGTTCCGACTGCCTTGCCTCCCTGCAGTATTCTTTGCTGCCTTTCTGTGTGGTTTCTCCTAGTCCCATTTACTCTGTTTGACTTAGCCTAGGCCTGAGTAGTGTGTCTCCTCTGGCTGGTTCCTCACTCAACCCCTCTGAGAACCTTTCTTATTGAGCCAGCCACAGACTAGAACAGTCGAGGTCTTTTCTCAAGTGAACCCCAGGTACCAGGGCTGTAAGTCCACAAGAGAAGCTTAGCCAGGTGTGGGCCTGTTCGGGCCTGTCTAGGGTGAGGTCCTGGAGGGAGGGTTTCTGCTGCTTTCTGTTCTGCACTCCCCACTGCTGGTCCCACTACACTGTCCATGGTGCGGGTGGGCGTCACACATAATCAGTGGCCCTGGGAAATGGCTGGTGCAGGCTGAGGGGAGAGCTGAAGAAAGGAACTCCCTCCCACATGTGTGTGGAAGCCTGGACCAGCCTGTGAGGTCAATGCTAATCCTCAGTGAGAGAGCATTCTGCTGCCGGGTGCCCAGTTCCTGAACCTTCTGCCACCCTTGGGAGTGAGGCATTTCATAAGCAACACCAGGTCTAGGGTATTGTATGGGGTTGAGTAGGCTGCAAGGTCTGGAACCCTTTTGTAAGAAAAAGAAAGCAGGGGGGCCATGTTTAATTTACTGACTTTGACTCATTCATTAAAGATTGTTCCTAGGACAGTTTCTTCTCTCCTCCTTATTCTTGGGTTAGGCCAAGGGTGTGCTTTCTAATCAACTAAATATTAACTTATAAAGCTGCCAGGAATGCAGTGTTTCCTTTGCCACAACAGTCTCTTTCAACCGGGAGGAACTCTTACCATTTCTTAAGTAGGTCATTTTGAAATGTGGGTGAAACTGGGAAAGGAGTCTGAGTTGCTCCCCCTTATTTTCTTGGCCCATTTAATCAGTATCTCAGTTTCAGGTTCATTATGAAGAATTTTGCAACCATAGAGCCAGCATGGGCAGCACAGTGATTAAAAGTGCACATTCAGACATGGATTCCAATCTAGGATTAGTGACTGTGGGCACAATAACGCCTTATGCCTCATTTTTTCTCATCTGTTAGTTGGGGGAAATAATGGCACCTTCCCCATGGAGTTGTTAGGTTTAATTGAGGAAATGCATGGCCATGCTCAGCACACTCGTAGGCATGCCATATGCTTTCATAATGGTTAGCTATTGTTATTTAGTTCAGATTCAAGTCATTCCTCATGGCTTGTGGGTGGGAGCTTTGTGTTATTAAAAGGAGGGGGCTGAGTAATTTTGAACTCAGAAGAATTCAGAGGATGTACAAATTGTCTGGTGACTAGCATCTAGAAAATGATTTCCAACTCCTTTGGGAATACCGGGGCTGGCTGGCCTCCGAGGGGAGTGGACTGTAACAGCCATGCTGTGTTAACGCACTGACCGCTTAGAGCAGTGATGGCGAACCTTTTGAGCTCCGCGTGTCAGCATTTTGAAAAACCCTAACTTAACTCTGGTGCCGTGTCACATATAGAAATTTTTTTATATTTGCAACCATAGTAAAACAAAGACTTATATTTTTGATATTTATTTTATATATTTAAATGCCATTTAACAAAGAAAAATGAACCAAAAAAATGAGTTCACGTGTCACCTCTGACATGCGTGTCATAGGTTCGCCATCACTGGCTTAGAGAATGCCGTCACACTGATTTATCTTCATCCAGAGACCCTGTGCAGCCATCACTAAAGTATCTGGTCCACACGTTAGCATTAAAATAATGTTAACTCAGGGTCTGTAATGACAAAGAAGAGAGAAGGCCAAGTTGATGGACTATCCCTTTCTGCAGGGGGATGTGCTGAGAACAGAAGCAGCCCATGTAGCAGATTAGACTTGAGAGTATCATTGCTTTGACTTATCTATCAGGACTCCACCAGGACTTGCTCTAATCTACCAGGAGTTTGGTTCCGTGTGGGTCTACTCAATGGATAGACGCTGGAAGCTGATTAGTGGTTGACAAAACCTCAGCGGTACCTGCTGTCAAAACTTCTTAAAAGGCACGCTGGTGGGGGCCCTGATCTCCCCAGTGCTGAAGTTGGACATTGATGTTGAATGCACTTGAGCATGACAGGTTGAAGCACTTTTCTTTGTTGGGTGTGCACACATAGATTCTATCTGTCTTAATCAGAGGACACAACTTTTGAGGAATTTTATGACCCTTGGATGTTAAAAAAGACTAAACCAATAGCATAAAAACAACAGCACAACCCTCATGGTTTCTCTTTAACTCCAGAGTCTAAAGCATTAGATTATATGGATTATATTGGATTACATGATCCCCTCTCTTTCTCAAAGCATTGTGTGATATTCTGAGTCACCGAGTTTTAAAAAAGAGAAATGTGTTTTGGTTTTGAAAATGTATTTGAGATTCATAACACCTTGCAGCAACTGGTAGACACCACAAAACTAGGGGGACAGAATCAGTTCACTGAGCCGTCGGTACTTATTTATAAAACCGTCTCCTTCTGCCTGCTATTTGCCTTTCATTCCACCCTCCTCTTCAGCCATGGGTTTGGGTTATTGTTGTACATGAAAAGCTGTGTTCTAAAATTCTCTCTCCCCTTCTCTCCTCCCCCCTCCCTGCCCTCACCCACTCTAGCACTGAGGATGAAAATAAAAGAAGTAAAGAAAGAAAATGGTGACAAAAAAATCATCCCCAAGAAGAAGAAGCCCCTGAAGTTGGGGCCCATCAAGAAGAAGGAGCTGAAGAAGCTTGTCCTGTACCTGAAGAACGGGGCCGACTGCCCCTGCCACCAGCTGGACAACCTGAGCCACCACTTCCTCATCATGGGCCGCAAGGTGAAGAGCCAGTACCTGCTGACGGCCATCCACAAGTGGGACAAGAAAAACAAGGAATTCAAAAACTTCATGAAGAAAATGAAAAACCACGAGTGTCCCACTTTCCAGTCGGTCTTTAAGTGAAGCTCACGGGCAGGGCGGGTTGGGGCGGGAGCCCTGGGTTGGGGTGAGGGATGGGGCTGAGCAGACAACGCTGAAACTCACTGCTTCTGTGGGCAGAGAACGTTGTAATCCCGTTGGCTTTCCTCTTGCAGCATCCCTCCTCTTCCCTCCACACCCCCCTCCAGCCCCAGTATAGCCAGTATTTAAAGCCGCACGCCCAGGTAGGGAAACCCTGTTAGATTAGGAAGTCTTGTCTGATCTCCAGTCTGGAGCTGCATGTCACTGAGTATGAGGAGGTGCAAAACCATTCAACTAGAGACACAGTGCACCAGAGACACACTCACTAAAACATGAAAATTTTCCACACCACAAAAGAGATTAGGCAAAACTTAAGAGACAGCAGCAAGCACTAAGCCCCATGACTTTCTTTGTGTCATTACAAATCACTTGTGAGTCAATCAGCTAATCGATTCCTGTGGAACTAGGAAATTCTAACTATTGGGAAGACATGTCGCTTTCGGTTCCAGGGGAATTTCCCTTGCTGTCTGCTTTAGGCAGACACGGACACCCACCACACGTACAACTTCAGATCAGTTCCAGGGAGCAGGAGGTGCAGGGAAGAGAAGCACAGCACAGTATGTAACAGTGAAAACAAAGGGAGGCCATGCCCGCCCTGCTTCCCCAAGGATTGCCTTTCTCTGTGAATCAACCAGTCTCAGATGCCATGCGAGTGACAGCTGACATCCGCCTCAGTCAGGATCGAACCCCCACTCATGGGGAGGGCAGCACCTGCCGGCCTTTGTGTGAGGAAGGGAAACACCGTGGCACCAGGCCCATGGCTGAGAGAGATGATGATTTTCAGACCCCAGAGGCCTTGGTTAGTGGTTTTTAAAAAGCATACTTAAGAAAAGAAAAATTTAGAACAGTCCAGCAAATTGTTAGTCCCGGTGACTGTAATTGGGTGAAGAGATTAGTATTCTAATGTCATCTATTTGTTCATTTCACATTTTCTTAAAGAAGAACAACTAAAAAAAACCCCACTTTTCAAGGATTTTTTTTTTTTTAAAGTCTACACTGAGCATTTGAAAGGTATGCCAAGACCAGGGTCTCTTGTGCACCCGAGGCTACTTTCCGGCGGAGCGGTGCTATCGCTCGGCATTTTGGGTGGGAGGTGGATGTAGCTGATGCATAGCCGTGGGTCCTCCCTCCTGAGGAGTCCTGGATTGCTCTGGCCCCAACACAACGCAATTCAAAACTCTCAGTGCTTCCCATTCCTTTCTTGCCTGTGAAGAAATGGATTCCTTTCAACAGGTCAGAGACATTCAGAACAGCCAGGCTGCCTGTGCTCCTGCATTAACAAATTTTTATTTTTATTTCTGCAGAGGGAAAGTTAGGCCACACGTGTCTCCCCACTCAAGGAGAGAGTTTCAAAGGCAACATACCTCTGCGGTGTTTTCTGACTCCCCTAGGTATTTCTCAGAGCCTTCTGTTTAATAAGTGATGTACATAAACCTGTTCACTTAAGCAACTTCATTCCCCTTGTTCAGTGTATAGGAAGCAATTCTAAACAATCAATGCTAATGTCTTCCCCAAGCCCAATTCCTAATTCTCTGTAACACCTCGGGGACTTTAGCAATTGTCCCCCTGGGCGAGTGGTGACACCCAACGTGGCTGCTGCACAGAGGCCGGCAAGTGTTGCCCTCGCCACACAGGAACAGTGGAACATGCTCTTAACGTCCCAAGACTCCAGACTGAAAAATCTGCCTGCCACCTTCGTTACCTACCTGAGGGTTGTCCTGATGTAATTAACCTCTCACAATTAGGGATCCCGTCATTTTAATACCTTTTTTGGTTGTCTCCAAACTTTAATCATCAAGTGTTGGGGGGGCATCTTAAATGATTTGCTTGTAATTGTGGATAGTTTTAAAAAATGTGTGTATATATATTAGTTAATTAGAAATATTCTACTTTCCTATTGTCAACTGAAATTCAGAGCAATTTCATGAGTGCATGGATCTGGGTCTTAGATTTGGTTGATTAGCTCAAGAGTTCATTGAACATATGTATCTGACGTATCTGCTCGTTTTGACAGAGCATCATGCAACAGGCCCCTCATTCCAAGGCAGCGGCCTTGGGAGAGGGGTCTGTGTGGGGTATTAGCAGTTACAGCAGAGAGATTATGGAAGAATAATAGGTGGCCGTGCTGTGCAACCCTCTAAATGGGAATTCTCAGGTAGAAGGTGACATTTTTAGAAAAAGTTCAAAGTAAATTGGAAATATGAATTGCAGCTGGATTTACCCCAAACACAGTGTCCTAGGACTTTGAGGTTTACTGTGGATTTGAGACACCCAGCAGCTCTGTGTACAACACAGTGATTTCCGGACGCAAAGGGAGGCTGTGGGCCCAAATCTGCATTGTTATCCCAAACCTTTGATTTGCTCAACAAAGGCCATAACAAAACCAATGTGCAGACTCATTGGCTTGGTCATCGGTTCCCAAAAGAGGAGGTGTGTGTGTGATTTGGTAATTATTGCTAATGCAAAGGTCCTGTTTTGTAAAGGTTTCAGATAATCATTCTGGGTAGAATCCTGTGAGGTCATTGGCAGAACTCAGCTCAATCTTTGAAAAATATTAGTAATTATCTTAGAGGATAGGAAGGGAGGTGAGACTTCCAGGAACATTTTGCTTTTAGAATATCGGGTAGGACACTTGGCTCTCAGTGCCCCTGAATTAGCACCAAGGTGGAGTCCAATTAGAGCTCCGGTTTTCATTTGCATCTGTAAATTACAGAGGCACCTTTTCCCAAACCTAGAGGCCGCGTTTCTCCTCAGACTCCAGGTAACTAGTTGCCCTATTGTAACTGTCCAGGTGTGGTGGGCTCAGACGATCTGTTTAGAAGCACACCTTCGGTAACTCCCACGAAATAACGTACTGGCCGTCCCGACCTGTCACCTGCAGATACATAGGACACACACAAAATTTGTTTCCTCTAGTTCCTTCCTGTAGCACTCCTCTTTTAGAGTCTAAATCTTTTACAAAAGCTTTGAATACTGTGAAAATGTTTTACATTCCATTTCATTTGTGTTGTGTTTTTTTAAACTGCATTTTTACCAGATGTTTTGATGTTATCACTTATGTTAATAGTAATTCCCGTATGTGTTCATTTTATTTTCATGCTTTTCCTGCCATGTATCAATATTCACTTGACTAAAATCACTCAATTATCAGTGATCATGTGAGTTGTGACTTTTTCCCCCCAATAGTACACCACTCACCCGCTTCCACTGCACACTTACCACTCCTGATTTTTTCAGTGATGTTTCCTGGCCTCAGTGTAATGACTTGCAAGGAGTAGCTGGGCGTGGGTGGGCTGGAGAAGCTCCCGGGGGCACCGCAGGCCGCCCTCACCCCCGTTCCCCGTTTACCATCTGCTCCCATGAATAACTTCCAGGAGTGTTTCTCCTGGTTGTGTGTGTTTGAGATCAGAAAGAAGGTCAAATACTTGCTCTACTACAAGAATGTATTTTTCAACCCTGCCTGAGTTTCTTTTTCTGGTTTCAGATGCTCTTGCCCCTCAGACCAATTCCCAATGTTAAAATTACCAACTACAATTTGAAAACTCTCTGGTTATCTGGAATCTTAAGTGCAACGGAGACCTTAGAGCAGTGGTTCTCAACCTTCTGGCCCTTTAAATACAGTTCCTCATGTTGTGACCCAAACATAAAATTATTTTCGTTGCTACTTCATAACTGTAATGTTGCTACTGTTATGAATCGTAATGTAAATATCCGATATGCAGGATGGTCGTAGGCGACCGCTGTGAAAGGGTCATTTGACCGCCAAAGGGGTCACGACCCACAGGTTGAGAACCGCTGCCTTAGAGGGACGATTTTAATGTACAGATGGAGAAGCTAAGATGAGACATGGCTAGGATTCCCTAAGAGTTTGGGCGTTGCTAGAATTAGAATCCAGGGCTCCCAAGTCCTAGTCTTGTGGGAACAACACTTGACTTACCATTGAACTTCCCTTTGGACCCACAGTATGGCCCTGGCCTGGCCCATGCTGTTTCATATTAGGTTATATGCTTCTTGCGTAAGGAGTTGTTCAGTGCAACTTCTTATTCTGTAAGCAATTACAATGACAGCTTCAGTTGATGTCATCCCCTGATTAACAAGGCACTTCCAAACCTCAGACAGCTGGCAATTTTACCTACAAGTGAGCAAATACTCCACACAAAACCACACCTAAACACAGAGACACCATTTTCTGGGCATGGTATGGGGACTTGTAAAAATTCCGCTAAAGTTAAGTTCCAGTATGGAAAGATTTTATCATCTAGTGTACCTGACTGGTGAACTAGTGATATGCTAGCCCAGCCAAGGCAAATACTGGCATTTCCTTTCAGTTCCCCTGTGGTTAATAAGGAAAATGTCTTTTAGGCTGGGTGTGGATGGCCCATGGTTTCCCATTGCTGCTTGAATTTTTTTTTTTTTTGGTAAAACAAATCAGCAAAAGAGTGAAGTTGCCCAGGAGTTTGGGGTGTCCAAGAGGTGCTGGAACCTTGTGTCTAAGATGCTGGCCCCACCCAAACAGCAGCCTTACCTTCAATCTCTATAGCACCTACATCTCTTCAAGGAATCACACCAGTGCTCTCCTACTTAGGGGCAGAAAGAGGTGAAGGGCCAGTCACTATATTATCCAACTTCGGCTGGTCTCACTTCTAATGCCATCTCCCCACCATGAATCCAGAGGTGCCAACATTTCACATTTGTTCCTGAGAAAGGGAAATCTGTACCTATCATCCAATAGTAATCAAAGGACGTAGGGAGAATCATTCTTAAATCTTAGTATGTATCATCGAGGGGAACTTGCTAACATGCAATTTCTGGCTCCCACCCTCCAGATGTTTGGGTTCGAGGTTTGCCAGGGGGCCCTTGACTCTGCACTTAGAACTAGCGCTCTAGGTTACCCACATGCCTGAAGTCCACTGGGTCTTACTTTGTAAAACATGCCAGTAGGGCATAAGTGGCTGGGGATGAAAGATTTTGGGGGGCATTTCCCTTTTCTCTATCCGCACACTTCATATTACTGCAGCCCGTTCTGAAGTTTTCTGAGCTACTCTTACTAAGTATTAGTTAATAGAAATCAGATACACAAGGGAGAGATTGAGCCTAAATCCTTTATCGCTGGGTATGTCTGGCTCGCCAACGAGTGCTTCGCAAACTTTAATATGCATGTGAGTCCTCTGGAGACCTGGTTACAATGCAGATTTCCCTCCATAGGTCTGAGGTGGGGCTGGAGTTCTGCATTTCTTTCTTTTTTAAAAAAATATTTTTTTATTGATTTCAGAGAGGAAGGGAGAGAGAGAGGAAGAGAGAGATAGAAACATCAATGATGAGAAAAAAATCATTGATCAGCTGCCTCCTGCACGCCCCCTACTGGGGATTGAGCCCACAACCCTGGCATGTGCCCTGATCAGGAATCGAACTATGACCTCAAACCGTGACATGCTCAAACACTGAGCCATGCCAGCCAGGCTGGAGTTCTGCATTTCAGATGGGCTCCTGCTGTGGGGAGAGGCTGACCCCACCAGGTTCGTTCGAAGAGCACACTTTGAGTAGCAGTCTCTAAGGGGCAAGTAGGAAGGGCTGCCAAGGCTCAGGAGTGTCCTTGCTCCCTGTTGTAATAAAGCCATTTCCGGAGTGCCCACATAGGGCCCATCTCCTAGGGAGTCAAAATATTAACCATGTTTTGGGTTGGAAAGAAAATCCAACTGTGGAAGAGTTACTGGAGAGATAAGCCCTCGGTTCTTGTCTTCTTGAAGGAAATATTTCAATCAAGAGACAAAGTGCAGGAAAGCAAGCAAGAACTTACTGGCCAACAAACATAGGAGAGTAAAACAAGGATGGGCTTAGCATAGAAGGAGCAACAGGAGAGCCTAGGCTGGGCAGCGTTGGCTCACCAGGAAGTCAGAGAAAAGAGGGCCTCGGAAACAGGGTTAGCAGGTTAGCCTGGGACGAGCTGCCACTGCCCATTGCTCCCCTGGTTACAAACCTCTCTGGGACCCTTCGATGGAAAAAGTGTGGAAAGGAAATGGCCCAGTGTGCTCCCCGGCAAGGAGAGCATGCGCCGGATCCTTTGCTTTGAGGGTATTTGTCTCTCTCTTGCAGGCGGGACTTTTAGGGGTTGTTCTCAATAGAATATTCATCAGCTCTCCAGGTGTGTTCTTTCAGGGTCGTGGTCTCACTGATTGGTTAGAGCCAGGGCACGGGATTATTAGTCAACGCAGCTGGTCCTGAGGCAGCCACTGCATCACTTGTCTGGTTTTGTTGCTTTTCTGGGCCTGGAGCTGCAATACGACTGAGGCCTAGATATCTTTAGGGAGGAAAAGGTCAGGAAGTCCAAACTGCATGACCAGTGATATGAAAGGTAAGGAAATCGAAACCGCATAACCAGCGTTATGCTAGGGGAGGAAATGTTACCCTGGGAGCAACATCCTTATTTTTCCAGTTTTGCCCCTTGCTTGGTGCCCGGGGCTTTTGGCCCTGGTGAGCTTCTGCATTGGTCGTTGCTCTGCTCATGTGTGTCTAACTGCCCATTACAGAAGAGTCCTGGTTAGAAACCCAAAGCTGGGGTTCATCTTCTCAACCCACCCATTAGCTTTCACTTTTGTCCACGGCCAGGAGGGTTGGTTCTTTTTCCTCCACTTATGTTGGAAACTCACAGATCCCTTCCATTTAGAATCAGGCTTGTGCCCTTTACCAAACTCTCCCAGCCCCCTGTCCCAGACCACCAGGGGTCTTTGGTGTTAACCAACTGGTGGCTTTTACCTCGACCGTTAAAGTAATGTCAGACTTTGACAAGAGAATTGGGACTTTTCATGTTCCATTTGTTCACATCTGGGCAGTTTCAAGCTCAGGTTATGGGAGAGGCCAAGACAAGGGGGGGTGGGGAACTGAAGTATTTGGAGGGGAAATCCCACCTCTTTGATAAATTGAGGACAGCCTGCCAAGCAAGGCTGATTTACCGGGGGAACAGGCGTCAGGAATTTCTGTCAGCGAAGGTGGGGAAGGCTGCCTTTTGTAGGCTTGGAGAAGATGGGTACCAGAACCCGCTCCAACGAGGAGCAGAAAGCTCCTGTGTCTTTATACATCTGTGGACTATTTAGATAAGCAGGGGCTGTACTTAATCATGGAGGGAGTTGTTTGCTTAAATGAAGGGAGGGAAGTTGCATGTGTGTGCTTAAGAGGAGAGAAAGAGGAGGCGGGAGGAAGGAGAAAGGAGCCAGCCATTTTCCACAGCTGAAACCCCACTGCGTGGTTTTAATTAGGATGACTTTCCCATCACCTGGATACCAGAATTCGTGGGTGGGAGCCGGGGTGAAGGATTTGGAATTCTCATGGTTCTGTCTGTGGGGCTCAGCTTGGCTCTGCTGTGGGCATCCGTGAGCTCCAAGGAAAGGTTCCTACTGGTTCTTACTTCCCTTCCCTGGTGTGCCTTCGTCCTGGGCTCTTGGACCACTGGCATGCAGGCAGCCTGTTCCTTGGCTAGCCAGGTGGGGTCCTGGGCCAGTGCTTCTCTGAGATCCCATAGATGTTCAGACTTGAAGAAAAAGCAGTCGAAACCCAGACTTCACATTAGATTTCCTTAAAAAAAAAAAAAAAAAAAGGACAAGGATTCCCTGCTGAAATGTGTGGGACATGATCCCATCTCTGTGGCACTGTTTACTAATTTTTCACCAGAATCACCTGTCACTGTTTGGACCTGCGGATGGATTGGTGGTGGGAGGTGGTTTAAGGGCCTCAGTTTCCACTTTCGCTGTCTAGTTCTCTGGAAAGTTCATGCAGAGCATGGCAATTTTGACTCTTTGCCTAGAAGACGAAGCCCATAATCTGAAGGAATAAAGGCATAACAGGCCGAAACCCAAGTGCCTATTTCACAATGTGGCCCCGGGACAGCCAGGGTGGGTTCCACAGAATTAACTGGATTCCTCTGGGGTCAGCACTGCCTCCCAAGGCTGGCAGCTCGGGCCACCTGGAACCTGAATTTGGCTGCTGGTCTTGGCCAATGAAGCAGTGACTTCCAGCAGCAGTATGTCCCTCCAGCATGGCCAAGCCCGTCTTAACCTGGGCCAGGCCTGGGCAAGGCCCCCGGGCCCCTGCAGAGGAGAGGGAGAAGAGGGAGAGGAAGTGGAGGACGGGAAGGAGGGGGAGGAGGCAGCTTGTGGTTGG